CAAATTTCATAAGTACAACTTTAGGAATATAGTGATTCTTCCCATTATACCCGCCCTCCCTCCTCACTCCCTCCCCACCTCTTCCTCCTTCTCCCATTCCCAGGCCCATTCTCCATTATCCACTCTTTTGAACATTTCTGATCAGACTTTTGTCCCTGCTGCTTTATAAAAACTACTGCCATCCAGTTCACTGGTGACTCTCACGTTGTTAAATCCAATGGCCCATTTCCATTCTCAATCTTAGTTGACCAGTCATCACCAGTTGACACAGTGGGTCACTCCTTTATAATTTTTCTTCTCTTGTATCCTAGGACAACACCATTCTCCTCCAAGGCCAGTCCCTTCCAAACTTCTTTTTCTTCTCATCTTGCTGACTTCCTAATATTGGAGTGTCTCCAAGCTCAGTCGTTGGACTTCTCTGTCCATACTCATTTGCTAGACACTCTCTCCTAGTCCCATGGCCTTGAACATAGCTGTCCCCATTTGAACATCTATGTCCCCAGCACTGACTTGTGCACCTGACATTCTCCTTGGGTCATCTGACAGGCATCTTAGACTTAACATGCCCAAAACAGATCTCCTAAACCTCCAGTAATCAAGACAAATTCTACTGGGATAAGAATGGACAAATATATCAGTGGGATGAAATAGAGAGCTTAGTTATCAACCCAACTTATATGGCCAACTGATTTTCTTAAACATTTATTTATTTATTTATTTAAAAGGCAAAGAGAGAGAGAGAGAAGAAGAAGAAGAAGAAGAAGAAGAAAAAGAAAAAGAAAAGGAAAAGAAATATCTTCCATCTGTTTGTTCATTCTCCAAGTGTCCACAAGGGCAGGGGCTGGGCCAGGCTGAAGCCAGGAGCCAGGAGCTTCATCTGGGCCTCCCACATGAGTGCAGGGGCCCAAGCATTTGGGCCATCTTCTGCTTCTTTTGCAGGCACATCAGCAAGGATCTGGATCAGAAGTAGAGCAGCTGGGGCCAGCGCTGTGGCACAGTAGGTTAATTCTCTACCTGCAGCACCGACATCCCATATGGGTGCTGGTTCTAGTCCAGGCTGCTCCTCTTCCAACCCAGCTCTCTGCTATGGCCTGTGAAAGCAGTGGAAGATGGCCTAAGTCCTTGGGTCTCTGCACCCACATGGGAGACCAGGAAGAAGTGCCTGAATTCGGATCAGTGCAGCTCAGGCCATTGCGGCCATTTAGGGGGTGAACCAACAGAAGGAAGACCTTTCTCTCTGTCTCTCACTATCTGTTACTCTACCTCTCAAATAAATAAATGAATAAAATCTTTATTAAAAAAGAAAAGTGGAGCAGCCAGGACTTGAACTGGTGCCCATATAGGATGTTGGCACTGCAGGTGGAGGCTTAACCTTCTTCACCACAGCTCCAGCCTCATGGCTGGTTGATTTTCAACAAAGATGCCAAAGAAAACCATTGGGGGAAAGGAAAGTCTGTTTTTATTTTTGTTTTTTAAGGTTTATTTGTTTATTTGAAAGCTTTATGGGCAGGGTGGGGGGAGATGTCTTCCATCCACTGTTTACTCCTCAGATGGCTGCAATGGCCAGGGCTGAGCCAAGCAAAAGCCAGAAGCCAAGAGCAACATCTGGTCTTAAAAATGGGTAGCAGGGGCCCAAACACTTGGGCCATTCTCCACTTTAAATGGATTAATTGTTTGGACTATGTTTATATTTTGATTAAATTGTAAAAAAACCATAAACCTATGAAATTTGTCTTGAGAATAGTTTGGTTTAACCAAATATATCCAAAGTAGATTACTATCTCAACATGCAATGAAAGTAGAAAGTATGTTAAATTTATTGGAATATATTATATATATGTGTATATATATATATATATAATCATAGTACTAAGTCTTCAAAACCTGATGTGTTGTTAGACCTGTAGCACACCACAGTAGGGACAGCCTCATCCCCAGAGCTCTAGAGTGCTAGTGGCGGCCATTCTCGGCACAGGTCTAGAACACATGTGAGTTAATTCCAAGTTCAATCATTTGGGACTGAAAGATGATAACTGAAGGACATGTTCAAGGAGTGAACCAGGAACTAGTCAAATTGAGCTACTCCTTCTTATTTCTAACGGTGACTAACACTTCTGGATCTCTTAGTATATACAAGGCTGGTGCTCAACCTTCGCATGAATTACTTCTCTTAGTTTTCACAGCAGTTTTACCAGTTAGACCTCCCCCACTCTCAGATGGGAAAATGAAGGCACAAAAGTCAAGTAACTTGGCCATTACGACTGTTGAGTATATTTTCCCTGACACAAAATGATGTGGGAAATTTATAATAACACAAATCACATTTCTCCAGGCTCCTGCACTGAAAAGGAGGGGGAAATAGAGGAGGAAAACTGGATTCCAAGTCACTGAAGGAGGGAAGCTGGTTTAGTTACTTCTGCACCTCTTTCAGAGGGCAGGCGAAAAGGGTGCTGAGTGAATGCACGCTGGGCGGGTGAGCAGATAAGGGGGCACAGAGCGGTGGGCACATAGAAGGGGGACGGTGCTCTGTGTGCAGCCCTCCTCCCACAATCTTTCCTACATGGGATCACAATACTGAACAAGGTTAATCTCTCCCTTGTTCCATTGCTGATGGTCTTTTCCATCCTGTTTCTATGTATGGGTGCTCCTGGTTAGGTGGGTAAAGGAGGAGACCCTAGGGAGGTAGCATGTCCTACTCCCTGTTCTGCATGGCATTCCAGTGCTGGAAAGAATAGTGTAGGGCTCAAGAGAGCAGAATTGGGCAGACAGGGTTTGATCCCAGGCCCATGCCTACCAGCTGTGTGGCCTTGATCTGTTACTCATTCCTCTTAGTCTCTCTTATCTGTAGACCCCGTGTAAGGCAATGTTTATGAGAACTTACTTTGGAGTATAATGAAAGCACAAAACCTAATTGTGTACTCAATACATTTTCAGAGTAGCACACACCACAGTGAGGACTAGAACATCACCAAGACCCCAGCAGCCACTTTCTGTCCCCCACCAGGCACCGCCTCACTCCACGCCCCCAGCCAAGAGTAAACTTCATCTCAATTTCTAATTCAGTTTTTTTTTTTTTTCTTTTTTGACAGGCAGAGTGGATAGTGAGAGAGAGAAACAGAGAGAAAGGTCTTCCTTTGTTGTTGGTTCACCCCCCAATGGCCTCTGCGGCCGGCGCACCACGCTGATCCGAAGCCAGGAGCCAGGTGCTTCTCCCGGTCTCCCATGCGGGTGCAGAGCCCAAGCACCTGGGCCATCCTCCACTGTACTCCTGGGCCACAGCAGAGAGCTGGACTGGAAGAGGAGCAACTGGGACCCAATTCGGCGTCCCGACTGGGACTAGAACCCGGGGTGCCGGTGCTGCAGGCAGAGGATTAGCCTAGTGAGCCGTGGCACTGGCCCTCTAGTTCAATTTTTACCTAGTTTTGAACTTCCTATGGATGAAAACATACACAGTATGTCTTTTCTGTTTGGTTTCTTGTGCTTAACATCATGTTTATGATGTTTATAACCTATGTTATTAGGTTAGTTATAGTTTAATGTTCTTCATTTTTTTTTAAGATCTTATTTATTTATTTGAGAGGTAGAGTTACAGTGAGAGGGAGAGACAGAGAGAGAGGTCTTCCTTTGGTTGGTTCACTCCCCAAATGGCCACAACGGCCGGAGCTGCACCGATCTGAAGCCAGGTGCCAAGTGCTTCTTCCCGGTCTCCCATGAAAGTGCAGGGGCCCAAGGAGCTGGTCCATCTTCTACTTCTTTCCCAGGCCACAGCAGAGAGCTGGATTGGAAGAGGAGCAGCCGGGACTAGAACCGGCACCCATATGGGATGTCGGTGCTGCAGGTGGAGGATTAACCTACTACACCACGGTGCGGGCCCCTGTAGTTTAATTTAAAAAAAAAATATATTCATTTATCCATTTGAAAGTCAGAGTTACACAGAGAGAGAAGGATAGGCAGAGAGAGAGAGGTCTTCCATCTGCTAGTTGACTCCTCAGTTGGCTGCAACTGATATGAAGCCAGGAGCTTCCCCCGGGTCTTCCACGCGGGTATAGGGACCCAAGGATTTGTGCCTTCCTCCACTGCTTCCCAGGCCATAGCAGAGAACTGGATCAGAAGTGGAGCAGCTGGGACTTGAACCAGTGCTCATATGGGATGCCAGCATTGCAGGTGGCAGCTTCACCTGCTACGCCACAGCGCCGGCCCCTGTAGTTTATTAATTCTCTTTATTAAACACTATTCTAATATGTAAACATATGACAATTTAACAGCCCATTCTACTGTTGGTAGACATTTGAGTTACTTCCAATTTTTGACTTTTATAAAGGAAGTTGCTCTGAACATTCTTGCCAAAGTTCTTGGTGGACAAGGACCCTGAGTCACCTAAATGATGGTTGGGTTATGGAATATGAACAACTGTTGGCTATAGGGAGCCTGCCCAATATTTTAACTAATGCTTTTAACCTCACAGTGTAATGAGAATTAATTAGGTCATGGAAAGTGCTCAGTATAATCCTTGTAATATAGGAGCTCCTTAATACAAGTTTAAAAATGTAATGAAGGTGTAATACTCCATGAAGCCCAAGCCCCATAGTGTGTCTGAACATTTCCCTCTGCTTATTCAGTTAGGTTGTTTGCATTGTTTTGTTGTTGTATATCATGCTTCCATAAATGACTTTCTTCATAGCTGTTTTATTCTGAAAATCTTTGTTTTGGGAAATTGGCAGGGCAGGTTGGATTGACTCGAACTGTATAACTGTATGTGACTGTAAGAACACTAAAGGAGGACTCTGGGGCTCGATGAGGGGAGTGAGACACGAAGCAAGCCCCTCACGTGTGGTCGGGGTCGGCGGTGTGAAGACAGGGGCCTGTGGGTTTCAGGGAGTGGTGTCTCCCGGAGGACAGCAGGGCAGGGTGGGATGGAGGATGAAATGGCGGTGACTTTAGGGCAACTGGGAAACCATGAGTAATAACCATTAAATGAAGAAGCAGAGAGAAGTCACAAGTGCAAAGATTCACTTTATTCATCCATCTCACCAACATTCGCAAGGTTAAAGCCAAGGAGGGGGTGAGGGCCGGGAGGGGAGGGGCTGGAGGACTGTGGTGGGAATGGGTCCACTGAGGGGAGGGAGCGGCGAGGCTGGGCCTCAGGGTCACTGGCGGTGCCCTGGCAGGCGTCTCGCTCTAACAGTCACCCCTATTGAAGCTCTGGACGACTGAGGTCGTGCCCTGGGTCACCTTGCAGGTGTACTCTTTGTGGCTGTTGTACTGTGTGCTGGTCAGTGTCAGAGTGCTGCTGAGGTTGTAGGTACAATCTGCAGAATTCTGCGGTGTTTTACTGTTCTCGATGCCAGTTGTTTGGGTGGTGCCATCCACCTCCCAGGTGACGGTGACATCGGGAAAGTATTTATTCGCCACACACACGATGGTGACTGTTCCAGTTGCCACCTGATCAGCAGCTGGTGGGAAGATGAGGACAGTAGGTGCAACTGGATCACCTGAGGAGGGAAGAAGCACAGAGGGCAAGGCTTAGGTACCAGTGGGCATCTCCCCTGGGTGCCATGTGGATGATCACAGAGCGCATTAGGGATGGACAGACAGAAGCAGCCCAAAGCTGTTGCAATGGGGCAGCGAGCAGACGTAGAATCTGGATGACTTTGTTTCCCTCCGGGTTCCGCCTGCCCCTTCAGAAAGTCTATGTTGTTGTGTGTGAACTCTCTGACCCACTGGGAGGCCTCTTTGTTGTTGCTCTACTCTGCCCCTGCAATGACTCAGTGATCGGGGAAAGAACACAGCCCATTTCATCTGACCCCTTTGGAGTTTAGAAGTAGGAACAGGTCCCGGCCCTGTGTCCTAGGAGAAGACGGGGACAGTGGCAGAGCAGGCAGCGAGCGTCTAAGGGAAGCCTCTCTCGGCTTTCATTTCCCTGGTCTCCCCCAGGACCGGGCAGTGATATCAGGACTCTCTGGGCCTTCCTTGGCGAGGCCAGGCCAACCCACCCTGCAGAGTGGGCCTTCAGCCTGTGTCTGCACCCACCCCTTCAGCGCCTGAGGTCATGCCAGTGACTCTCCTACCATCTTGAAGGCCTCACAGTGAGACCTGCACCTGGCCGCCCGTTCCCAGGCCAGCCTGTTTGCAGGAGGACTCGGGAGGGGTCAGCTGTAAGCTGGGTCACCTGCCTCACAGGAACTGGTGAGCTTCACTCCTGACCGCGGGCAGCTGCCAGATGGGCCCTGGGAAACCCCGCTCTGTGGGGAGTCAGGGCCTAGGGTGGGAGAGCATCGTTAAAATGAAAAAATCAAGAATCCTTCCTGCGACAAGTCAGCAGACGCTCGGACAGGCTTATACAAAGCTAACCCCCATGGTAACCAAGTAGTTCAGTGTAAGACAGTGAACTTTCCTGTTTTATGTTCCTCTTTGAATCTTCATGATTAGCCCCCCCCCCATAACTGTATACAGTGGACTTGGCAGCACAGTACTGTGATCGAGCCCCTGAGCAGGGAAGAGCGGTCTGTGAAGACCTTCCGCCTGGGCAGTCCTGGAGAGCTTTACATTTTCCATCTGGCGTTCACATCTTAAACAATTAGCAATCTAATCTTTAATAATAAATTTTAATTTAATTAATTCTAATGTAAATTAAATTTAATTAATTTTATGTATATATAAATAAATATAAAATGTAGAAATAATATATTTTATTTTTAACTATTATAAAATTATTATATTAATCTTAATTTGATTTAATTAATTTTTAATATAAAAATTATTTCAAGATGCCTCATTAGCTTTTAATAAAGTTTAAAAGTCTCTAAAAGTTTTTAAAAGGCTCTAAATTAATTTTAAAATAGTTTAAAACAGTTTAAATCATTTTACATAGGTTTAAATTAGTTTCAAAAGAGCTTTGAAAGGTTCCTAAAATAGCCCTAGCAAGCTATTGCAGACCAAAAAAATCCTTCGTAAACATCATGTTTGACATTAGCTGGGGTGCACAACAGCAACAACAAATTATTAAACTATTTTAGAGGCCATGGGATTAAAATATCTAGATTTACGTTTTTCTGTCACAGACTTAAGGTATTGAAAAATACAGTTATATTGGTTTTTGTTAACTGCAGTTATACATGAGCAGATATTTTATACAACTGCAATGTCATCCTGCCCAGGCAGCTAAATCTTTGAAATTAGCAACATGCCACGTACTTGCCTTACTTTTATTAGTTAATACACCTTACTGGTATTTAATATAAATTTAGTGAATTGACCGAGATCTGAGTGGCCAGACTGTTGCCATTAAACTTGATTTTTTGCTGGTGTGGTTTTTACCATAAAAGAATTTATAAATATGCTTCTTTCTTTTGAACTGAGCTTTCATAATTTAAATAAACATGATAAGAGGATATTGAAATAATAGTACATCATTCTTTATAGTCCCCTAATGGAAGTTTTCAGTAAGAGGATAAAATAGCGAACATGGATTTTGTTTCTGAAATTTCTAAGAAGTCCCCTCTGCCCTGTTTCGCCCATGCTGGCTCCGTGTCCTCCACAGTCTCTTTCCCTTAGTGGCATTATTTGTATCACTGTGTGTCAGGACAACCGGCCACTGCAGAGTTAGACAGGCTCGTGGCGGGGCTGCTGTGGCCTTTAGCGGCCAGGCACACGGCCCCACGGAGCTAAGTGGCACGGCCACGGAAGGCATTCAGCCATGAAAAAGACCGCCACGAGATCTACAGACCACGCCAGTTGTGCCATGGCCTCTTTGGCATTATAAAAATATGACAAATAACTGAAGGAAATAAAAGAACATATAGTTCTTCTTTAAATACTTAAAATATTTCTTATTTTCCTTCAAATCTATGATCATTAAACAATGCATTCCTTCATTTAAACCAATTTTGATCGAAGGTCATTTCAAGTTCAGTCTAATGTGGAAATTGGACTTTTTAAAAAGAAGTAGGCTGTGAAGGCCTTACTCCTGTAGAATCATAGTTTATCACTCACTGTGGACTCTAAAAATTATATCGCTGCCAAGCTCTCCAGAAAGTCATATCTTTTACATGTAAAATAATTTCCTTTTCTAACTTCTTACTGTTTTTTTAGTGCATGTTATTGAATTTTATAGTTGCTATAGAATAATATATCAGACAAAAGAGGAAATAGACTAAAATACATTTCTCTATTTTTCACACACAATGAGCAAAACACCGTAACCAACAGTATCAGTGAAGCTCTTTAGAGTGCCGAGGGCTCCCTTACTTATCTACGCTAATTTCTTCCCCTTTGAGTCATTCAATATACAGCAATTAATCTTTTTGCCGCTAAATTCATTTAACTTTTGCAACCAACAACATATCTCAAACCTACTCATTTACCCACTTTTATAAAATTTCTACTTAAAAGTGAATCTGGCCAATTAGAGCAAAATTTCAGACAGTAATAGGAAAAAGGTACTTACGTTTGATCTCCAGCTTGGTCTCCTCGCCAAAGGTGATTCATGGAATTAGCTTTATTGCTTTCCCTCAACAAAAACCTCTGACTGCTCCCAAGCTCATTAGACTGACAGACAGAATTTGGCCACTCGCTAGCTCTTTGCTCTCTACTTGAGATGAACAGATATTCTGCTCCCTACCCATCCGTGTTTTTGGAAAAATTCCATTCCCCTCCGGATTGACCTTAACTCATCTCCCAAATGCGCAAATCCCACATTTACCAACTCAGTAAGGAAAAGGACTGGGAAAGTGCACTTACATTTGATCTCCACCATGGTCCCTGAGCCAAAAGTAAGTCACTCTGTCATCCCACCCCTCACAAAAACCTCCCTTTGCGGCCAGTCCCACCACACGGCAACTGTAGAGAAACTTCTGCTGTTTCTCTCCTATTCTCCCAAACCCCCAAATTTCTGTCTTCTCCGCTTTTGATTATTTTCTTCTATTTACTTTTGGGGTCGCCAGGAATGGCTCATTTAACTGAAACATCACAAACTTGCCCAGGTGATCCAGGGGACCAAGACCTCACAGTTGGACAGAAAGGGACTTAGGTTTGATTTCCAGTTTGGTCCCTGGGCCAAGAGTGGATCACGGTGGCTCCCTTTACCTTCTCCCTCCACAAAACCCTCCCTGACAAGGCGGCAAGCCCTCTCCCCGGGGAAGTTATTTTGACTTGGAAATCTCAGACAGTTTTCCCTCCTCTGTGCCTCATCTTGGAAAGAAATTCGTTAGAACCCTGACCTCCAGCCAACAAAGACACACAAACAGCGAAAAAGTGGAAAAAACAAACCAATCAGGCAGAAACGGTGAGGAATCAGTGAAACGGCCACTTACCTTTGACCACCACCTCGGTCCCTCCGCCGAAAGCATTATACACAGTGGTTCCTCCTAACCTCCCTCCTGTACAAAAACTGAGTTTCCCTTTCTGACCATCAGGCAAGGCTCCGCCCAGAACACATCAGGATGCACCCCAGTGAATTTCTGAAGCTCTCAAATTACTCTCTCTCTCTCTCCCTCTCTTTCTCAATGACTGAGTCTTGCTCTTCGTAGACAATATGCAGTCCTTGCTCAAGCTTGCCACACACTTCATCCCTGCATTGCCTGGTGGATGCTCCCGATTGGTTTCAGAGTCAGCTTAGGGATCGCTTCACAGACACAGAGATCACACGACGCAGACAACCAGAGAGGGAACGTTTGGATTTTACTCACGTTTGATTTCTACCTTGGTGCCAGCTCCAAAAGTCAAACACAGTGACAACTCCTCATTGTACAAAACCCTTCTCACCCAAGGGGAACCGAGCCCTGCCTCAGCTCTGAGGCCTAACTCCCTCTCTGAACAGAAGCCCTGAGGCTTCTCTGATGCAGAATGCTTGTTTCCTTAGGTGAGCTCTAAGATCCTGGAAGACAGTATATTTATGTCTACATAGTATGTTTATATATGTATGTCTATATATTATTATATTATATTATATTATATATTATGTCTTTCTGCCACCACTACCCCCTCCAGAGTGCTTGTTATTTATTTTTTGGAAAGTAGGCTGAATGTAAATTATAAAGAAAAAGACACAAATAATAATGATAATAAAAAACCTCTTAATTGAACTTTCTCCTAGGGTGAGGTTGGGAGGATTTGCAAATGATACACTTTTTTTTTTCCAGTGGAATTGGGAACTCATCAGTGTCTCCCTGTTAATAATAGTAAGGAAAGTCTGCCCATTTGAATCTTTATTGCCATGGTGTTGTTTCAGAAAGACTAAATGCATCTTACATCAAGACCCCCCATCATTGACGTGTAGTTTGGAATTTAGCTACAGTGCAAAACAAAAATGAAGATCAACAGACAGAAGAGCAGCCATGGTTGACTGGTCTGCAGTCCAGGTCTCATTGAGCCGAACCAGGTGCCTGCTGTCTTGGGAGCTGCCATGGAATCCTGAGTACCACGAGGTTTCTGTGGACACTCCACCCAGGACCCTGAAGACCTCGCTTTGTTTTGAGTTCTGCTTCATTTATTGCAGTCTCGCTTCCCCTCTAACTTCTCACCCTCATCCACTCTGTATATTGCCCCCACCATCCTGGACACTGTATACCTTCAGTGGCCTCCAGTTTTTTACAAAACACTCCCTCTGAGTGTTACCTACCTGAATTAGCCTGTAAACAGCTGTCATTCAAGATTCAACTAGAAACACGTTTTGCCAGATTATACCCAAGCAGGTGGCCTGATTTTGCAGGGTACAGAGACAGGTCACTGGGCCTAGAACCCCCAATTGCTCTTGTCTGCTATCAGTGAGTCTTGACCAGATGAGGCTGTAAGCTGTCTAATGCTTTGTTTGCCTTATATTTGGGAGACTTGGTCCAACATCCTCACTTTTCAAATGAGAAATAAAAGAACAATTGAAAATCAGAGGTCAGAGATGACAAACTATAACAGATCAAAGACCAATACTGTCCATTGCAATAGAAAGTTGTACAGCAGAAATTGTGTACGTAATTCCCATGATTGGGGTAGATTTATGTGATTCTGTCACTGGGAGCTTTGCCAGTTGCCTTGAATAGCAGAGTGGGCAGGAGTTCCCACCAGAAGCTGGGGAGAGAAGAATGGAGGTGGAGGAAGAGAGCAGGAAGAGGTTGACACCTGGAATGAAGTGAGCAGCAGAGCTGATTGCCAACACAGTCAGCTTCCATCCCAAGGGGGCTGGGAAGTCGTTTTTTCTCTGAAGAGCCGGGAGCAGCATCCATCACAAGGGCTGGCATTTACTGGCACTTACAAAGTGCAGATATTGTATGTGAATCACCACACTTAATCTCCCCCCCGAAACTTCATGAACTGTGGGGAGCAAACCGGACTAGACTGTTACTGGAATTGGGACTTATTCTATGCATCTGCTCTCCCACAATGTGGCGCGGGGAGAGAGGTGGGCAGCTTCCGCACAGCTGCCTCCAGTTCAGCCAATTAACTGTGGGACTTGCTCCTGATTGGAGAGCAGCGTACTCGGCGTGTGGGCAGCCGAGTTGGGATTGGCGGAGGAGGACTATAAAGGAGGAGAGAAACGGCATGCACCGGGAACATCTATGGGGAACATCTAAGGGAACCCGTGCAGCCCCCGAGAGAACCGGCCGGCGGTGTGCCGCTCCCCTGCGGAAGTGGGGAATGCGGCCAGGGGGAACTGCCCTTCCACGGAGGTGGAAGGGATAGTAGCCAACCCGGGAAGAACCAGCAGCAAACCCGGGGAGGGCCGAGCAGACGAAAGAACAGCGCAGGGTCCTGTGTCGTTCCTCCACGAAGAGGGGGAGCGACAATGAACTAGAACCTAGCTTTATCTCCTATCTTGTAGGAGAGGAAATGGAGTGCAGACAGGTCCAGAACTGGTGTATGATGACAAGTGCAGTATCTAGAACCTGAACTCAGAGCTCGTGTACATAGCTGAGCTTTGCAGAGGTGTCCCCTAGTTGGAGCAGGGACATGGCACAGGACACAGGGGTAGAGGAGAGGCAGCTCCTTAGCCTGGCCCAGAGTTGGGAATGAGTGAGTAAGTGACCCCAGATGTATTCTCAAGACTGTGCACTGAAATGTTGAAAAGGTAAAAATATGGAAAATGACTAAAATAGTCAGAAATAGGAATTTGAGGGAGAGAGGGAGGAGGAGGGAGAGAGAAGCAGAAGGAGCGAGAGTCTGAAAGAGAAAGCTGCAGACCATCCTGACCGCTGTGGGTAGGTCATCTTAGCAGGTCCCTCAGCTGTAACTCTTCCCAGCACCCAGGATGAGCCGGCCTCTCTAGGGAGGGCCCCCTCACGGCAGCGGCACGCAGTGAGTCACCCAGTGCATCAGAGACACGGGAGCACCACTGTGCCCTCTGCAAGCCCTGAGGGCCGGCGGCTTCCCCACCTGGCTCTGGACTCCTGCGTCTGCTGTCCGCCTTCCAGTCTGTGGCTCAGCGTTCCCCTTGTCTTCTTTCCGGTTCCTCAGGCACGGTGCACTCCAAGGCAGGTGATTCTGCTCCACGCGGCTCCTCCTTAGGCTCCTGACCCATCCTTCAGTTGATACAAACAGACAGCTCACGGAGGGGGCCACTCTGTACTCCGCATCCAGTGGGGCTTAGCTTGGCACTGGTTGATCGTTCTTCTTCTGGCCACTGTGTCCTGCATGGATGTGCTCCAGGCTCCCCGGAGGCATGGCAGGCCCAGTAGCTGCTGAGAAAGAGCAGGACGGAGGAGTTCCTGGAGGAAGAGGCTCTGCTTTGCCACATCAGGGCTGCGTCTGTTTCGGCTGTCTCCGGAGGAAGACCTGCTGGCAGGAGCAGAGTCCTCAGCAGTGAGCAAACGCACGCACCACAGACACCACCCAGAGTTCTGCTTGCTCTCTGGACCACGTGGATTCTCGGCTTGTTTCCGTGAGCACACAAAAGGCCGCAGGTGCTCCAGTGGAAGAGCCAACAGCAGGGACTGTGTCAGGGCTTGCGACCAGCAGGGACTCAGCCACCGAGATTTACATACCATGGGCTGTGGTTTTGCAGAGTGAGGAGCCCCTCAAACTCTGTCCTGCTCGCTCCTCCCCGTCTGCCTGCCTCAACCCCTTTGGTCTTAGAGCAGAGAAACCCACTGGGCCTACTACTGTGTCGAGCTAGCTCTGGGTGCGGTGGTGAGATCTATGGATTTAGGCTTGGTTCCTCATAGCCCCAGGGCCCTGCTAACCCTGGCAAGAGCCTAGGCTTGTAACCCAAGAGGGAGGGTAGGAAGCGGACCGGCCCACAGAACAACGAAAAACACCCACATTGAACAAGGGATGACTTGCTCACCACATTGCAACAAGGGATGACTGAGACTTAAAAAAAAAAAAAAAGTCTAATATAATGAAGGCCTCACTCTTTTGCTCTCTCAAAATCCCCTTCACAGAAGGAGAAATATCACAGTGAGAATTCATGTATTTTTTGCTGGGAGAATCACCAATGGTTCTATTAGTAGAAAAAGATGTTGAGGAAAAAAAAGAAGGATTTAAATCCTGTGTTTGAATTGAAGGAGAGACTGGAATCCAGAAATGTTTATTTGTCTACTGCAAAAACAGGAGGCGCTCTTGAAGCAGCCAGAGCTGGTTTTAAGCACGTGGGAGCCATCAGGGCTGGGCCAGGGGGTGAGGGGGTCTGGAGGGTGGGACAGCACTGGTCCCTCTGCTGGCACGGGGAGCTCAGCCCTCCTGCCCCAGCCCTGTGAACAGTGATGGCAGCAGAAAGGGGTAAGGCTAACAGGCATTCGATACCGCACGTAAACTTCCACCCAGTAGAAGGGAAAATGCACAAAACTGAAACCAGTGTGGGCGGGCGGCCGCAGGGAAAGTCTGCGGCTTCGCTTCCTGCACTTGGTGGAGGCTCTGAGATCCTGCCTGGACTCTGTGCTGATGGCTCGGAGCCCCGGCGTGGCCGCACAGCTCTCGGAGAAACCTTTCCTAGACAGGTGGGTACGATGAGCCGCGGACAGGTGGGTACCAAGAACAGCTGCTGTGGAGAACCCCAGGAGGTGGCTCTCGAGGTGGACCTGAAGCTTTTGATCGCAAGGGTGTTAGAAGAACTTGTAAATCATATTCAAGAGCCCCGGTGTGGATGCAAGGGGATCCAAAGGAAAGCAGAGCACAAGCGTCAGAGCTGTGCTGGGAAGGCACGAGAGCTCCAGAAAACCGACCAGGTTGCCCCCAGCGTGTCCAACGACGAGACGGGCGCATTAGCGATGCAGCGGCCAATCTGTGACCCTGCAAGATTGGCCAGCTCTAGGTGCTGTGGCCATTTGGGGAGTGAACCAGCAGATGGAAGATTACTGTCTCTGCCTCTCCTTCTCTGAAACTCTGCCTTTCAAATAAATAAATAAATGTTTAAAAAAA